TAAGATCCCACGGATCCAACTCATATGAATTTTTTTTTAAAAAGAGAAATAGTATTTAGCGCGTGATAAAAAAAATGAAAATAATTTTTTCTGCAGGCCACCCAAACTTTCCACGGAACACCAGTTGGTAACCACTGCTCCCGGACTTCCACCTGCCTTTTAAGAAAGTGTGGTCGTTAGAAAACGCACCGTTCGACTGTGTGAATCTGAATATCAAACCAAGATTTCCGATTTTGGCACAAAATCCAAAAAGAACGGAGCAAGCAAACCAGTTGAAGTGGGTGAGTAACTTGCCAGCTTCCCATGTGGGTCGGAAGTTGGTTTAAGCAAGAGAGGAGCGTCTCAGTAACGCGTTGGCAAGTGGGGGCCCTTCAATCTGAGGAAGTGCTTGCAAGCGGAACCACGAGGCGGATTGAGTACACGATAACTTTGCATTCAGGGAGTATGTAGCTAACTTCAGCGTAGTATCCGAGGTGTAAATGCACCCCGAGATTCAATTCAATTCAATTCAATTTATTAGACTTGTATGCCGCCCTAGTCCCAAAGGGACTCAGGGTTTCAACAACCCTTAACTCAGATCATATTGTGGGAAGGAAGGGGAACAACGTTGGCCTTGCTTAATAAGCACGGGGAGACCGACGACTCGATGCAAGATTAGAGGTAGTTCCTCGGCTTTACGACCACAACTGAGATCAGGATTTCCACCGCTAAGTGGAGTTTTGCCCAATTTTGCCACCGTTTTTTGGGCCAGTTAAGCGCATGTTTGATCCCCGCGAAAAATGACCCACCGTAAATACACCTCAGTTTGCCAAGGGCCCAAATTTGGGGTTGTCTGAGGAGGCGGCGACGGCCATAACCGTGAAGACTGTCCTATGTCACTTTTTTTCAGAGCTGTCGTAACTTCGGAGCCGAAGGAAATGGTTCTAAAAAATTCACAAGCCAGCATCCCGCCAACGAGCACAAAACGGCCAAGCCATTTACGCAACCACATCCATGGGAGGCCCAAAACCCTTCTCAAGCCACAAGATCTGTCGCACCATCGCTTCCCAAAGGGAGGGGCTTGCACACTTACACACGCACAACCAAGAAGGTGTCGCTTTTCTCATTTTCGGTTGCTTTCAGAAGGCCTGAAGCCACATCTAGCAAAACACCCATCTTCCCACCCGTCCATCATCCACTCTCGGTGGCTCATGGTAGCAAAGTGTTGAAGATGGGTGAACTTCCAACTCCCCAGATTTTGTTATAGGGTGCTTTGTTAATTTATTTGATTCTTTTTTAAAAAGTTTTTTATCGTTTTTAAAGAGGTTTTTATGTCCTGTAAGCCGCTTTGGGCAAATAGGCAGCAATATAAATTTAATAAACAATTACATACATACATACATACATACATACATACATACATACATACATACATACATACAGGGTCAATAGGCTGCAATATAATTCAATAAATAAATAATGGGCAAATAGGGGGCAATATAAATTCAATACATAAATAAATACACACACACACATAAAGGGCGAATAGGCTGCAATATAAATTCAATAAACAAATAAATTGCGAATAGGCAGTCATAAAAATTCAATAGATAAATAAATAATGGGTGAATAGGAGGCAATATAAATTCAGTACATACATACATATATCAAGGGCGAATAGGGGGCGATATAAATCCAATAAATGAATAAGAATAAATGGTGAATAGGCTGCAATAAAAATTCAATCAATCAATCAACAAATAATGGGGGAATAGGCAGAAATATAAATTCAATAAATATAAATTCAATAAACTAGGGACACGGTGGCTCAGTGGCTAAGACGCTGAGCTTGTTGATCAGCGAGGAAGGGCAGTTTGGGCGTTCGAATCCCTAGTGCGGGTCTCCTGCGTGAGCAAGGGGGTTGGACTAGATGACCTCCAAGGTACCTTCCCACTCTGTTATTGTTAACATGCCTTTGAACTCTTCCTACCGTCCTCTTCTTCCCCCCCTCCCCAAATCTATGGGAGGGGAGAGTCCAGGAGGAAGAGAGAAGGTTGGAGTGCATCACTACTTCATGCACCCTTCATCCCAGGTGTCTTGGAGAGGCTGGGGATGATGGGAAGGAGTCCAGGGGGGTCTTTAGGCAGAGGGAGATGATGGGAGATGGGTTGCTAACTCTAAGGTACGTTAGGTGGTTGAGGATGATGGGAGGTGGGAGCCCCCACCCCCACCCTAGAAGGCTTTGGGTGGATGGGGATGAGGTCCTCGTGTGGCTGGGGATGATGGGAGGTTAGCTGCCCCTTTTAAGGGTCTTTGGGTGGATGGGAATGGGGGCAGGTGGGCCTCCACGCAGGGGTCCTTGGGCAGCTGGGGGTGATGGGAGCTGAGCCATCACTCAAGGCGGCTTCCAAAAGCTGGGGATGATGGGAGGTGAGTTTACCATCCCAGTGTTCTTTAAACAGCTGGGGATGATGGGAGGTGGGCTGGAACCCAGGCGATCTCTTAACAGCTGGGGGATGATGGGAGTTAACCTGCCAGCCCAGTCTTCTTTTAAAAGCTGGGGACGATGGGAAGTGGGCTGGCACCCCAGAGGTCTCTCAACAGCTGGGGATGATGGAGTCCCCTGGAGCTGGGGATGATGGGAAGAGGTCTCTGGACAGCTGGGGAGGTGAGCAGCCACCCCAGTGTTCTTTTAACAGCTGGGAATGATGGGAAGGTGGACCTTCACCCTAGAGGTCTCTCAACCGCTGGGGATGATGGGAGGTGGGCTGCCATCAAGTGTTTTTTTGACAGCTGGGGGATGATGGGAAGAGGTCTCTCAACCGCTGGGGATGATGGGAGGTGGGCTGCCATCAAGTGTTTTTTTGACAGCTGGGGGATGATGGGAAGAGGTCTCTCAACCGCTGGGGGTGATGGGAGGTGGGCTGCCATCAAGTGTTTTTTTGACAGCTGGGGGAGGAGGGGAGGGGGTTTCTCAACCGCTGGGGATGATGGGAGGTGGGCTGCCATCAAGTGTTCTTTTGACAGCTGGGGATGATGGGAAGAGGTCTCCGAACAGCTGGGGATGATGGGAGGTGGGCTGCCATCTAGTGTTCTTTTAACAGCTGGGGATGATGGGAAGAGGTCTCCGAACAGCTGGGGATGATGGGAGGTGGGCTGCCATCTAGTGTTCTTTTAACAGCTGGGGATGATGGGAAGAGGTCTCTCAACCGCTGGGGATGATGGGAGGTGGGCTGCCATCTAGTGTTCTTTTAACA